GGAATTTAGATTTTTAGGTCTTCGTTTTTATACATGTATCCAGACCAGTAAATATTTTTGAGTTTTGAATTTTGTGTATAAATCAACACCAACGCCCCAAAGGCGAAAAGGAGGGCAAGATTGTTAGAATTGCTATTGTAAACATGAGCAGTTTCGAGAATAAACATAAAATTGAAACGAGTAATTTTTACACATCTGATTGACTAAATTCAGGAAGCCATTTAAGTGTACGCGTATTTGTTACAATTCCGATCAACTCTGCAGCACGGCAGAGCCAGAGGCAGAGTAAATTGTAAACAAATTGTAAGCTTGTGAGAATCAAAGTTCAAAACTCAAAAATATTTACTGGGTACATGTAAAACAAAGACCTAAAATCTAAATTCTCAAAAGTAGCTTTAATACTGTCAAATTTTCCGAAGTCTTATTTAGTTGTTTCAAAAGTATAGAATACACACACACTTCTGTATGGATTTCGTACATGTTCTGCATGTCTTACAGTAAAAATACAAAAATTGTCCCACTTCCGCGGTTTGTGGTGATTTACTGTAATTTGTTCTGTTTTTCTGTAGCGGTTACCGATTTATCGGCAAATACCGCGATAAAACGTAGTTTTCTTTATTTATTTTATTCTACAGCATTTATAGTTCTACAGCTATCTTATAAAGTTTTATAATATAATAGTGAATGATTCCGAATATTCAAAACGGATTGAAAGAATGAAAGCAGTAATTATGTATAACGGTTTAAACCGGCGTAGGCCGTACAGCACACTGCTCACTGGTCACTGTGACGAAGGATAAACCGAAAATTCACTTCTCTCCATGACAAGCTTTTATAATGTTCAGTCGATCCGCTACATTGTCATTGAAAGATGAGTACTTGGCTATTTTTTGGCAGGGGTAACAAAATATATCGGCTGTTCTCTAAGTGTTTCTTAATGCGTTGGCCATCGGAATATAATATAACTACTATATAACTACATAAGCTTGATAGATATGTGACGAGTTTCACAGGCACAATCCTATTTTAAATACTATGGCTTTTGGCAGTTTTGCATCATATGTGCAGTAAAAGCCCCATTTTTCTACTTCCTCAACGTGTAAAACGCGAAAAAACTTTATTAATAAGAACAAAAATTTGTAATAAAAATTTGTAGTAAACAGTGTATTTTATTATAAAGGATTTTCGTTTTTCTACTGCTCCGTAGTTCGTGTGCTCCGTGCTCCGTGCTCCGTGTGCTCCGTACTCCGTGCTCCGTGTGCTCCGTGCTCCGTGTTTTACTAATAGCCGATATATTCAGTCTACTAACTATAGAAAATTATATTAATTCACTATTTTATTAAATTTTGACAATGCAGAGGAAAAAACTATACATATTATAGAAGTAAACATTTTTTTTTTATGCCAGAGTTATATTTTGAGGAATTTATATCATTTGCTGCTTTGTTTTTTATACATAAGCATCTGAAATTCCCAGCCAGTGCTTTTCACGATTTTGATAAGGAGTAGATAGGGGAAAAAACAAACTTTTGCAAAATAAAATGTTATGTTAACACTTTTAATAAAAAGAAATCAATAAAAGTGATCGCTTACCGTTATTCTACAATAATTTATTGAACAAAACTTCCATGGGTAGCTCATTTCTTTAAAAAAGCGATTTTCACCTTTCGAACGGCGTTTTCCCTACCTTTTGCTATGAAATTTCAGCGACGGCACTGGCTGGAAGATTTTGCGTGGCGCGTGGAACGCGTGACACAAAAATTGAGGTTATCGAGGTGTCTGTTTCCTCTCTGTATATCTCTTCTCTGTGACGTTATGCTCTATGAACAAAATCGTGTGACCATTCATGTCTGTTAACAAAGGACTTACATATATATGACCTGACGCGGCTACTTGCTCGCGCCATTGCACGTGTTTTGTAACACATTGCTTGTCAATTGCTGACGTCATTAGAAATGCCAATTTTTGAAGAACACTGCGCTTAATATCTCATTATTTTGTCCGGTGCCTATGTTGAAATTTTGCACACTGTATTGTACCGCAACTGCCTTTCAATATACCAAAAATAAAAAAAAACGAAGGAAACGATATTTTGCATTTTCTAAAAAATCGGCATTACAGAATTTTTTATAATTTTCATATCGTCAGCGGTCCAATTTCTAGGTAATATAGTGCACGAAAAATAAGCACTGTGGAGGTCATCGTTCGTTTTTTCGAACTATATATACAATGTAATAGGCTATTTTAGAGTGAATTTCGTATGCGTGTGTTCACTTAATAGTAACACATAGTTTGAAAGAGGGAACATTATTTGACAATTTGAAAGAGGGAACATTATAGATGACTCCCGACACTTTAAAATGTATGCTGTTAAAAATTGTCATAACTGTTATTATTCACCCGAAGTTTTCAAAACTGTACCGAGCCACCTTAAATGCTTTTAGACGTATCCTCACTCTCGTTGCCACTTTAAATGGCCGCTGGACCACGAGGTTCTTTCCACTTTAAGCCCTTTACTCTTTAGCACAAAGTTATGCCACTAACTGCAATACTAATTCTACTTCCAATTAACTCTTTTGTTCTCTCTAATAAACTCTAATTTGTGTCATTCTAGTCGTGTGCTGGTCGGTGCGGTGATTATCAGACATGCGTTTTATGTAAAGTATTTGGTGTAACTCCAGACAATGCAACGTTGTGTGCTAATTGTCCGAGAATCGAGAAACTCGGCACACTTGCAGAGTTACAAGCATGTAAGTAGCGAGAAAAAATATATACTACAGTAGCTTTAGCAATACTAATACATTACAGACCCCAAATGAGCCATAGTTTCGAGTTAGGTGACTTAGGTCCAGTTATTGTAAACATGTTAGTTAAGAACAAGGCTCCGTGCAATATCCATTCACTGTCTCAATGTTAATTTATCTTTAAAACTTTAGTAAAACTTCCTACAACATGTCAAGAAACTGATGACGAAGGATGTACTTACTATTATTCATATATAAACAAAGAAAATATGACTGTTGTTCATGTGGTAGAAAACAAAGGTTCGTGTATGTTTTTGGTACACTATTTATATAGGTAACTAAACGCACATTTAAGTAAACGAACGTTAGATGTGTCATGCACGCTGCCTTGTTACAAGGGAGTCTCAGTGGTCATGTTAAGTGGAGTGTTCTTCAGCTTCTCTCTCTCTTTATTTAATCTAATTTCTGTCATTAGTGTTTGCCTGTAGATAGCTGACTAGGCTTGATCTGTAATACAGATTCTGTATATAGGCGTTTGACTCACTAGATGCTCGTGTGCGTGCGTGCGTGCGTGCGTGCGTGCGTGCGTGCGTGCGTGCGTGTGTGTGTGTGTGTGTGTGGGGGGGGGGGGGGGGGGGGGGTAAACACCCTCCATGCAATCATTCGGCAAATTATTGAATCCCAGTCGGGGAATTGTTTTCGTAGTCGGCAAAACTTGAATTGGATAGGATTTGAAATATATGAGTTACACTTATTCTAAACACTTCTGGGCCTGACATAGTGGTGTATGCATGGGTAGGTGCAGTAAACCTATCTTATAATGATGCCAAATGCGGAAAACACTTAGCGACAATTCACCGATGCAAATGATGTTTTTATAAAATCAATGACTTGTATTGCCCTGTGAGACATCGCATAAATTGGTTTTCCGCGTTTGACGTCATTATGAGAAAGGTCTACTGCTTACCCTGATCAAACAAGAAACCGTACTCATTTATCAGCTGTGTCCTGAAGAAAGCACGAGAGAGGGTAGACGTTTTTTATCCATTGTACCCATACGGCAGAAACCGTAATCATTTATCAGTCCGGAAGAAAGCTGACGAGAAAGGGTAACTTTACAATCGCGAGATTGCTGCAATCTGAGGCGGTCACTTTTTGAAAACTGCTTTATTTGCTCACTACTCATTGGTTTATTTAGTCCGATAAACGACCATATATTTTGCAGATTTTTGCACTGTGATTGGCTGATTGCAGGTTTTTGCCCCGATGATTACAATTTTTTGCACTGTTGTGTGGAGTTCATATGAAATCAACCGGTGACAGTCGAGTAGTGTTTTTTTGTTATATTCTTAGTATGGCTATAATTATGGTATGGTTATAATTAGTACCACATTTCATATTATTCCAGATTGCCCTGAAGGGCCTGATGTGTTGTTGATCGTTCTTGCTGTAATTGGTGGTATTGTTGGTATTGGGATCATACTTTTGATTCTCTGGAAAATTCTGACTGCAATGGCGGTACGTAAAATTAATTAATTAAAAAGAAAATTAAAATTATTCTTGGGGCTTGGGGGTGATATTGAAATATATCAGGATACAAACCTCTATCCACCCCCTGCCATGAATCTCAGTTTAATCTTTTGTAATTTGTACTTTACTATATTTCTTGTTTTGAACTTATTTATTACTATATTTAATAAGCTAAACTAACTGCAATAAATCAGATGACCAAAAGTATATAAGGCGTATTATTAGCATTGCCACTATTGGTACTTTAAAAAACCACTATGGCTAATTGGTATATTTGTAACTTTCGTTTTTGTGATAAACGATTTTAATGTGAAATGCTGCTTGAACAATGTGCGAGTTGCTTTTTCGTTGTTTATCTGTTGTATTTATTGTTCTTGCATGATTTTTGTATTGTATGTAAGTCAAGTAATTTGTCCTATATATGTGGGATGTCAATCATAAATCTCATGAGAGTAATATGTTAAGCAAATAAAAGCTTCATAAGATATTCCTCAACTGAATAATTAAAGAAACGAACCTTTTTGTGACTAACAGGATCGACGTGAATATCAGAAGTTTGAGCAGGATAGAGCCCGTTCGAAATGGCACAAGGTATGTAGAATGATGTGTTACGTACAAGCATATTTTGAAAGTAATTTTTTACATATGCAGTACCATGGCTCTGTCTCAGAAATTTCGTTGCAAAAATTGTCACCTAAATATGTTTTAGGAACAAGATTTAGGAATTTGACCTTATATATAGCTCAGTGGCTAGAGCAAACCGCTGTAATTGCGGGACGTAAGTTTGCTATGTGATGGAAAACGAAGCATGACTACCCATGGTTTCTCTTAACCTTAGAAAGTACAAAAATAAGTGTAGCGGACTGGTATGATATTGACATGTACATACGTATGTATATGTGGATTCACGGTCGTGGATAGTACCAAGCACTATCGTGTAGGAGGTTGTGGTCCACCTGAAGTTATTAGAGTGAGAAACTAATATGATAATTACTTTCATTACAAGTATATAGGGAGTCTTCTTGTAGTATAGCTCAGAGAGGAATCCAGCCAGAGCTTAGGTGAAGAGGGCGAGGCGGGTGCTCATCGACCCATGGTCATGGTCAACCTCGTTCCCAGGCTCTTTGCTCTTGGGAAGCAAAGACCCTGGTCGGGGCTGGTCACGTGACCCATAGAAAATTGATAACCTAAGAGGGGATGGAAAAGTATCAAATTACATGTTTCCACTTCCGCACCTCACACTTCGATTGCAAGGAGTGACCGTTCTATACAATCATCTTTGAGAATCATATATACTTCAAAATACTTGCTAAATTGGTTTCTGTTTGTTTTTAAATTATACAAACATGCTAAACTGTAGATTCTTATAGCAACAAACAAGTCAGAAAATCAAGCAACGGAAACGTATGATCGTATATGCTTGGAAATATTTGCCCTTTTATTGTCTCGGGGTTCGGGCGCAGTTTCATTTCACGCGTACGTTTCTGTATCTGGCTCTGGTTCAGATACGTATAATATTCTTATAATGTGCCATTGAATTGTTGTCATATGGAAACGGTATAAATTTTGTTAAATAGAGGTCTCAAAAGCGACTGTGTAGGTCGTAGGCGCTGCGCCTTGCTGGTCCAACTATACAGCAAACGTTACATATTTGGACACTAGCCAAATAGACATTGAATGTCCATTCTATTGATTCTAAAACTGTTTATAGACATAGTGCTCTAGACTTTTTTACAAAGGTTATCATCGTTTATATTCGACACCAGGTAGGAAGGAATGTTAGCGTACAAAATTGTTTGGGATCGACAGTAAAGAATTATACGACAATTGACAACTGTGTGCATTTCCTTTTTTGTCTGCACGAGTACCTGTTTGTTGAAGCCAAAATCAGATTGCACAGAATCTCCGATATGAATTATATAGCCATTCACCCTCGCCCCTTGAATGCAAAGGAATGATAGCCGAAAAGGTTTAGCAAAGTATTTTTTATTATATCTGGTATATAGTGTCCCTACGTTTTATCAGGGATATATATACATAAGTCATAAACTGTATTTATGCGCTCAGCTATATAAGACCAGCTCGTAGAATTACTTAATTAATGAGTTTTAATAAGCCTTTTAAGACTTTTAAAGTTTCCATTGATAGATAGGTTGTTTGCCTCTAGTATGGTTTGGTGAAACTGCTAAAATGTCATTTGTACAGTATACGATAAAGATTATTTAAAGTTGATTTAAATATTGATGACTCACAGCAGCATTATACAAGTCGAAAGAAGCTGTCGGGTTATTCTTCAAATATAAAGCCCTGAATGGGCAATGGCAATGAAAGGTCTTTATAAAGTCTATAATGTACCTGCTGTAAATTACTGTAATACACAAAATATGAAATAATTTACTATGAAGTACAATACCAGTGTCTGGTGCATATATCGTCCTAAATATTCAAGTTATATGTACCGCACGCACGGAAACACACAGAGGAGTCTTGCCTTGGCGTTCGTCTGATGACAGATAGCTATACTTCGAGTCTTCGACATAATCATTCTTGTCGTTGAGTTTCAGCAATGTAAATTAAAGGAATTTTACAGTCCATAACGGTTTTTTTTAATTAATCCTGTGCTTTCACAGTCAAGATAGCACTATTGTTTACACACAGTTAGCGATGTTTGGGAAATCTTCCATTATAGAATAAATCCTTTGGCTTTGTTGAATATCGGACAGGATACACTTCAACCATAAACAACCATATCGTTCATTTAGTATCGTTTGATCGATCAGTCGGTATAGAATTGGGAAGACATATGTTTATACGGCGATGCGTGCTCAACTTCGCAAGCCAGGTGCGTGTGGAGTCCTTGGAAGTGAAATATGATCCAGCTTCTCGCTTGAAATGTACCGCAACACTTATAATTGATGACATTCGATATAGCAGGAAGTTGTGTCTTGATGAATACGAATTTAAAACTGTTCCTTTCACGATTTCTTGTTGCAAATTACATTTTTATCACCCGAAACTATAACACATAAAATTGCAATTTTCCAAACGCAACAAACAGACTCCTCTACCACCCCTCCCTGAGATCAATTCAATTTACCACGCAGAATCTGCGGGGTCACGTGACCAGCCCCGACCAGGGTCTTTGCTTCCCAAGAGCAAAGAGCCTGGGAACGAGGTTGGGTCATGGTTTAGGGTGCGACCGTTGACCAAGTTTATAATAATTTGGAACTATACAGAGCAGTGTTCAGTAGATTTGGCCCTGGAAGGCTTTGGGGCATGATTGTGGTAATGGTGACAGGATACTTCCTTTCCTAAATGAAAAATGAACTTGATGATGATCGCCCCCCCCCGCTCCCCCCTTGAACCCCTTTTAGCGAGGTGCAATGGGATGTGCCTCCTGCATCTCCTTCCCCTGCGCCGCATTAAATCCATCCCTGCAGTAGTTGAAAAGTAAATATAGAACTGGCGATTATGAAATTGACCACCATCTAATACATTTCTCTCTGTCTCCTCAACAGGTCCTACTGCACCATGGGAAGGTCGCATACAAATTCCCATGAGGCACGAGGGCCTGTGGTGGAGGAAGCCCTTGTACCGCTTATACTGAAACCAATACTATATCTTTGTTGTTGTTTGTAGGAGAAAAATCCGTTGTACCAATCAGCCATATCTACTGTTCAGAATCCTACATTTGTTGGAGCAAAAAGCTAGAGCATTGCATGTGCATAAAATTTCTAATGAACATAATTTTCACTTGATATTTACGAATGATGAACAGAACGTGAAAGGATAAGTAGCAGTAAATGGAAATAGGCAAATAACAACATTGTCCCCAGGGTTGACCTATTCGCGGTGATGTGCGAGAAAAGAATTCATTTGAGGCAATATGGTACATGACAGTTGCTAGCCTAAAATAGATTGAAATGTCACCTTACAACCGAACTTCGTTTCGTATTGATTGAAATTCACAAGTCGGCTTGTAAACTAATTAAGTATTTGATTCAAGCCTGGTTCACACTAGCAATTCAGTCGGCGATTTTTCTCCTCCTGGCAAATGTGATCGAATGAATGACATGCAAAAGACTTGCAATTGTTTTCTTCTGAAAAGGGACTCTATACTTTTGTGTGCGAGTTTATCATTTGCATCCGTCAGGAACACAAAATTGCCGACAAAATTGCTAGTGTGATCCAGGCTTAAGATTTCTAAACATTTGATTGGCAAAAGATTATCATATATGAAATTTTGAATTTCGCAACGAAGTTCGGAAAACGGTTAGACTGTATTATATAGTTGTGAATTTTTAATAGTTATCTGCAATAGTGTTTTTTCTTTTAAATATTAACATTTTAAAATCATTATGTTGCTTTCTGGAAACTCGGCAAACTTCAACGCGGCGATCCTTTGCGGGCAGAAATGTTCTATTTTTTACAATAGCAGAAAAATGACCTCATTGAGCCATACGTCGGTTAAATTCAGTTTTCCTGGACTTTTTTTAGACAAATTCTCTGTCACAAAATATAATTTTGTAATCAGCAACAAGCTAAAGAGCTCTTACGCCAATATCTCAAACACAGAAACGAGGCTCTATAACCACTGCCAACGGACCATTAGAGAAGTGATGGGGGGGGGGGGGACCAAAAATAAATTATTTCAAGAAAAAAATTAGGAAAAAAACCCTTCCCAGGCATAGTGCAAAAAAAAATTCATAGGCCTGTAAATTGCACTTAAAAAAATTTCCAGCCATGAAGTGAGAAAAAAAAATTACTTCTATAGGTGTACAAAAAATATATATTGCCTCTTAGAAAATCTGCCCTCCCCCATCACTTTTCTAATGGTCCGTCCCTAGTCCGGAAGGGTGTATTGTTTTGCGTTTTATTTGCCGTATCATCACTAGGGATATGACATCAGTGGATATGACCCAGCGACAATCCTAAGTATAGGTATGTATGGGGTTTACATGGGGATCATGGGGATGTTACACCGGACGTGGAGATTTTAGGGCGTTAATATTTTGATGTGATTTTGACCACATATGGCATGCGGAATAAATTATAGTTCGTCCCGAAGGAAACACTCGAAACTCAAAGAATTACTGGCTTTTATAGTTGTGATAACAACGAATCTTTAAGCAAGGAATTTAGATTGTGACGAACTTTGGCTACTATTATTTATACGAAAAGATATGTAAGTATTGTTGTTTTTCGTTTGGGAGTTTTTATTACCAGATAAGGTGTAACGTCCATAATGAAATGTCAATTGATGTTAGAAATATAATGTAATGAGTTTATAGTATGATATCGATGGCGTTTTAGGTGAACTGAATATATTTTGGGGGATTGATAGTGATTTAGTTGTAATAGTTTAGAATAATTAAGCCATTTGACAGCCCATAGAAGACTACGAATACCTTGTTTGTTTTTACGTTAGGAATTGTGCACCAGACGTCAGACACTCCTACTGAAATTCATTTATATTATAGCTTGATACAAATTCAAGGCATTCTTTTATATAAATACACTAATACAGCTATTAAAACCTACCATATAGGAAACCTATCGTATAGTAATATAAGACATATAAATAGCCTAGTATGTATATTAACATATATTTACCATTCTTCCATTTATTATGTTTCCATATGAAGTATTATCCCACTTGAAGCTATGTATACATATCTTGTTGTGGTATTTTATATTTGTTCCTTTATTTATCGAGAAACGTGATGTATCTTGTGGTATTTTATATTTGTTCCTTCATTAAAAAAAACATGACTTAATTTGGTCACTAAATTAGTATAAAAATTGTCTGACTTAATTATTATAAAGTCTGAATAAAATAACAAAATACGACAAATTAATTAGGGATTTACAGCAAGGTGGCTTTACAAGAAGCATGGAGAGATTTGTTTAAATTAACCATTAGTGCCCAATAGTCGCCTCTTGACAAGAAAAGACAGTAAAATCATCTGGAATTTGGCAAAGTTAGGTCATGGTAACGTACGTTGTGACTTTATTGGTGATTTATATTCTTAATACCCATTAATTTCTTAGTGACCATGCAACTACAACATACTAGCTAAATGGCCCTATATTTGTAGTAATGACTTTGAAGAACCAACACTTTTTTGTGCTATAAAATGACAAGTTTGCCCTGGTAACAAATAAAACATTGTTTTACTGTAGTTACAAAATTACTTGCATGCTGATATTAGTCACTATTACGTTTACATGTTAATAACTTAATATGATGTTTTAATATGATATTAATAAGATTAAATGAACGGGTATTTCTAGGTCCAATATATAACAGACAAGTCCCTATTTCATGCCCGACCTACATCAAAACACTAAAAATTTAAAGAGCATTAACAAGTAAATATGATGCTTGTGATGTTACTCTGAGTATATATCCACACCGGGCAAGCTTGAAAAATATGCCTGGCCACGGTGGGATCGAACCTACAACCTTTGGAATACTAGCCGGCCAATGCTCTGCCAACTGAGCTAGGCGGTCAGGTCGGTTCGAGTATGTGATATTTCGGAACTGAGTCTAGTTCAGACTTCGATATTGATGTAATCTAGTAATCATGATTCGGAAATTGCATGGATGTGAACTTCGCAACAAAGTTCGCAACTTCATTTCAATGTTTAAACTTTGTTTGTAAACAAATGTTCATACTCAAGAATAATACCCAATTCAATGAAATACAAACATTCTTGGTAGCCCACTGGACCAAGAACTTTCCATTGAATTGTTAATTTCAACTTGAACTATGAACATTTGTTTACAATAGTTCAAATATTGAAATGTACTTGCAAACTTTGTTGCGAAGTTCATGCCCAATTTTTGAACTTGGAAACGTAATTGGCAAGTTTGCAACAAACTTGCGAACAGTGCGCTGAAAAGTGTAGAATAAACCAACAGTCAATACCATTCCTAAATGCATTTTCTTTTCAGTTTTGAACAGAATACAAATACAAAATAAATAAACTACTGTACTTCTGAACTGAACATTTTATAAACTAAAAGATTTAATACTTTGAAATGAAAAAGAAACTAGCAGAATTGTCCCTACATTATACCATGTCCTCTAACTTACAGTGCAGTATGTATACAAAGACCCTAATATAAAACAACAGTAACTCCGAAAATAAACACTTTAATATTCTAGCTTTTGACTAAAATTCAGTCATCATCAGGAACAGATACCTGGAGGGCTGTATGATTTCCTGATGATGACTGAATCTTAGTCGCTGTTTATTTTCGGAGTTACCATTGTTTTATATTTTATTAAAATACTCAGTGGTTCCCTTAATTTTTTTACAAGACCCTATTGCTGGCATTTGCATTATAGCTCTAGGATGTTAAATAGGGACTTGGATCATTTATCTATATAGTTATTTGGGGGGAGTGTTGTGCTTATTCAAGTAGTGTTTCAATCATAGTTATTCAATCAGTTTATTTGCATCTGTATGCACAATAGAACTGCGCATTTCCAAAGTTCTAGAAAGATAATTGAATGAAAGAGCATCCATGATTGAAATATACTAACCACTGTAGAAGCTAGAATAAAATAGTTGTTGGAATTTTTCGTCAAAAATTTGATACTTTTTGCAATGTAATCAATTGAAAAGAACTAAAAATTCTGGGGTAAATAGTCAGGTAAATAATTATATACAAAAGCTGCGGATTGATAGGAGACAACTACTCGAAAAAATACAAGGAGAACTTCAGAACTTTCACGTTTCGAATGAATGCCCTTCGACTTTGATCACTTTGTATACTGTTATTGTTTGTATCACCGTACCTTTAATACTGTCGTCTGTTGCATGGTATTCATAAATATACAGGATATAATCTCCTCAAAAATGAGACAATGTTTGCTGTAAAGTGTGGGCCTGTAATTGATTTCTTTAAAACTGCACTAAAGGATTAAAATTCCTTGACACTGGATTATTGACATTGCTTTCATGTATATTTGTGCTTTAGATTTATACTCTCCTGTCAGAATTTATGGTATACTATAAATTTATAGTGCAGTGTTACAGTCAAACCGGATGTTCTCTTGGGAGCAACATTGCAATATTGTCCCACAATATTGCGAATTTGATAGGCAGATTGCTCTGAGCAATTTGCAAGCGACGCAAACAAATTGCAAGTTGAAATTCACAAAAGATTTGTAAACAAAGCCTCTGATTGGACTATAAGAAAAGGGAAGCTCCAATCCAGTTGCTCAGTCTTTCTTTACAAATCTTTTGTGAATTTAAACTTGCAATTTGTTTGCGTCGCTTGCAAATTGCTCAGAGGTGTGAGCCAGAGCAATCTGCCCATGATAATTGCAATATTGTGGGACGATATTGCAATGTCGCTCGCAAGAAAACATCCTGTTTGACTGTACTGTAATTGAAATTTTCTGAATAATAAATTTATAAAATTATAGTGGGCTAGAGGCCTTCTAAAAATCTATTGAGGTTTTTATTAAATGAAATGGAATTATCATACAGTGTTTCTCCTAATCACTGTGCAGGGGACAATGCCCCCTCCTCCACAGAAAATTTAACCTACTAAATAAATTTACAATTTTATGAATTATTAAGCCAAATGATGCTAATATAATCTTTTGAATCAGAATGTATGATTCTGTGTGGGGTGGCCATAAACAAGCGTCTAACTGATATGACTTTAAATGTATTGACATTTGGGTACTTATTTTAGCATATAGATATTACTGCTCCCCTGGTGAAAAAATGCTTTATACAGCCCTGTCACTGTTAGTTGAACTGGACATGGGTCACCAGGTGGGGTGGATCCTTGAAATTTTAAGATTGCAAGCTCCTTAGAACTTACTTCTTGTTCAAATGATGCAGTTCACTGGGAAATCTCCCAATATCCAGATATGATGCACTACCTCTTAAAAGGGGGGGGGGGGGCGATATTCCTAGGATATTCGCCCCCCCCCCC